CAGGGGCCTCACTAATTAGAACAGAGTTTGGGGGTATGTTGTACTATAATTATAGTAGGGAACCCCCAAAATATTATATGTAATTATTAAGGCCCTTACACTACAGTATGGGACGTCTTTGGTATCAGAGACTGTCCCACAGCCATGATCTGTACTTTTCCTTCTCCTGAGTCGACCCTAAAACTCAAATCCCCGTTCCCTCACGTGCCACCACACATTTCCGCCGGAACCCATAAACTTAGGAACCCAAAAGGGGGGGTTTATATGGGATATCCCTATCCTAAGTTGTGCTTAAGTGCTTCTTTGGGGCCCTATAAACCCTCACATCCAAAACCATGAACTCTCTGAATGCCGTCAAATATCCCAATCCTGAAGCCTCCACCCCGAGCTCACGGTTTGGGGTTTAGGGATGTTTAGGGTTTAGGGATGTTTGGGGTTTAGGGTTTATGGATATTCGGGGTTTAGGGTTTCGGGATGTTTACGGTTTAGGGTTTCGGGATGTTTAGGGTTTAGGGTCCCTGAATCCCCAATGCCTAAACCGTCGAAGTCCGAAAACTAAGCCCGGAGGACAGCGAGATCCGCTTGGAGCTTTTCAGCGAGTCCCTTCAGCGGCTGAGCCGAGAGGCTGTGGCACTCAGCTGCTCATTCTTGGACTCATATCAAACTTTGGTCCGGGGCCTACCTATAGTCTCCATTGTAGTTCTTTTTTGGGGATACCTTTTAAATTCCTTAATATATAATTGGTTAAACCAAAAAAGGAACTACAATGGATACTATAGGTAGGTTTTGTCTCCATCCCAAGTCGAAGCAAACAGAGCATTGGAGCATATAAGAGCGATTGAGAAATTCCCTGTTCGTACCTTTCACCTATGCTTCGCATGACTGTGACGCCACTTCGCCTCTGGCAGTTCGTAATCTGCAACCCGGAACCATAAACCCTACTTGGAGGTTCATGGGTAGTTAGTTCTAAGTAGTAGGGGTTATAAGTCCCTGGACATGTGTCGTCATTACTTTTTACCCTACTTATACCTACAACTACAACTACCCATGAACCATCACCTCGGGCCGGAAGTCCCGAACCCTGAACATTACATCCTCAAATAATTACAGTGAGCCTTGACCAATGAGAAGGCCAGAACGAGTTTAGGGGTTCAGGGATCGTATTTTTCGTGATTATGACTGTTGCTGTCGTGATACCATTGCTGCCAGTGTTGTTCTTACGACAGGTATCACCATTGCTCTTGTTGCTACTGTTCGTCTTATCCTTGTGGCAACTACAGTCCACATCTTGCCAAAGCATCATGTAAAGCCAGAGCCCTAAACCCTAAAGCCCTAAACCCTATAAATCCTTTATAGTTGCCCCTGAAGGAACCCTAAGGCCTAAATCCTAGAGCATCTGGGAGCAGGTCCGACGCCACGAGGACCAGCAACTGGCCCAGCAGCGGCACATGGTGAGGCGGGCTTGGGGTTTAGGCCCCCTAAGCCCTAAACCCAAGTTTAGGCATTCAGAGCTCCAGGCTTAGGGCTGTAAGGATTCAGGGTTTAAGATTTTAGGGACCAAGGTCTTTTGGGTTCAGGGCTGTGGGCTTTCGGGGGTCTAGGGGTTTGGGGGTTTAGGGTTAGGCGTGTAGGGCTTGGGGTTTAGGGTTTAGGTTACCGGAATGTCGTTTCCGACGGAGGTATGCATGTAAGTACATGTCTATGTACATCTTTAGGCATAAGCATATGCAGATGTACATGTACATGTGTATGTAGATGTATTTGTATGCCAGTGTACATCTGGTATATGTGTGTGTATATATATATATATAATATATATATATATATTTATTTATTTATTTGTATACTTATAT